TAGAAAACAAATATCAAAATGGCTACAGTAAGCCCTTACCTATCAATAATAATACTGAATGTAAATTGACTAAATTCCCCAATTAAAAGACATCATAATGAAAAGGCATGACTAACTGGATTAGAAAACAAGACCCACCTATATGCTACCTACAAAAAACTCACTTCACCTACAAAAGATAGACAAAAAAAATGAGGACATGGAAAATGATATTTTATGTGAATGAAAACCAAAAAGAGCATGAGTAGCAATGCATATATCAGATAAAACAGACTTGAAGTCAAAAACTATAAAAAGAGACAAAAAAGGTCATTATATTATGATAAAAAAGTCAATTTAGCAAGAGAATATAATAATAGTAAAAATGTATGTACCGATTATGGTGTTACCCAAACATAAAATAAATATGATTAGACCTAAATGAAGAGGTAAATTATAATACAATAATAGTATAGGACTTCAACGCCCCACTTTCAACAACAGATCATCCAAGCAGAAAATCTACCAAGAGGTATTGGAGTTAAACTATACTCTAGACCAAATGGACCTAATAGATGTTTACAGAACATTTCAGTCAACTGCTGCAGATTATACATTTTCCTCATCAGCACATAAAACATGATCACGATAGACCATGTTAGGTCACAAAATAAGTCTCAACAAATTCAAAACAGCTGAAATCATTTCAAGTATCTTTTCTAACTATAAAAAAAATAAAATAAAAATCAATAACAGGAACTTTGGAAAACTGTACAAATACATAGAAATTAAATAACATGCTCCTGAATAATAAATGGGTCAACGGAGAAATTAAGAAGAAAATTTAAAAATTTCTTGAAACAAATGAAATACAAACACAACATATCAGAATATGGGATACAGCAAAAGGAGTATTAAAAGGGAAGTTTATAGCAATAAATGCCTACATCAAAAAGAGAACTATTTCAAATAAACAACCTATGTCTCTTAAAGAACTCAAAAACCAAGAGCAAATCAAACCCAAAATTAGTAGAAGAAAATAAATAATAAGGATCAGACTGGGTGCAGTGGCTTACACCTGTAATCCCAGCAACTTTGGGAGGTCAAGGTAGGAGAATGATTTGAGCCCAGGAGTTTGAGATCAGCCTAGGCAACATATGGAGAGCCCCATCTCTACAAAAAATAAAAACAAATTAGCCAGGTGTGGAGGTACATGTCTGTAGGTCCTAGTTATGTGGGAGGCTGAGGCAAAAGGATTGCTTGAGCCCAGGAGTTTCAGACTAGCCTGAGCAACAGAGCAAGACCCTAGCTCAAAAAAAAAAAAAAAAGGGGGGGGGAAATTAAATTGAGACTAAAAAAATATACAAAAGATCAACAAAGCAAACTGTTGGTTTTTTTAAAATATAAAATTAACAAGTGGTTAGACTAAGAAAAAGATGAAGAGCCTAAATAAATAAAATTAGAGACTAAAAAAAAAAATAGAAAACATTTCAATTGATACCACAGAAATACAAAAGCTCATTAGACAATATGGTGAACAAGTACATGCCTCCCAAAAAACTAGAAAACCTAGAAGAAACAGATAAGATCCTGGACACATACAACCTACCAACATTGAACCAGAAAAAAATAGAAAATCTAAACAGACCAATAATGAGTAATAAGATCAAAACAGCAGGTGATGGGGAGGTTGAGGAGAGATAACATTAGGAGAAATACCTAATGTAGGTAGGTGACAGGGTGGGCAGAGGGTGCAGGCAGCAAACCACCATGGCATGTGTATACCTATGTAACAATCCTGCAAGATCTGCACATGTACCACAGAACTTAAAGTATTTAAAAAAATAAAAAATCTCCCATCAAAGAGAAGCTCAGGACCTGATGGATTCATTACTGAATTCTGCGAAATATTTAAAAAACTAATAGCAGGTAGACAAAGACACCACACACACACATAAAAAAAAACTAGAGGTCAGTATCTCTCAGGAAATCCTCCACAAAATACTAGCAAAGTGAATTCCAGAGCATATTTAAAAAAGACTATTCCATCATGATCAAGTGGGATTCATCCCAGATATACAATAATGGTTCAATATGCAAATCAATAAATATAATCCATGATCAACAGAATCAAGGACAAAATCCATGTAATCATTTCAATAGATGCTGAAAAAGCATTCAATAGAATTCAGCATCCCTTCATGATAAAAACTCTCAACAAACTAGATTAGAAAGAACATATCTCAACATGATAAAGACCCACAGCTAATATCAGACTTAATGGGGAACAAATGACTTTCCACTACCACCTGGAACAAGATAAGAATGTTCACTCTCATCACTTCTATCCAACATAGTACTGGAAGTCTGAGCCAGAGTAATTAGGCAAGAGAAAGAAATAAAGAGTGTCCAAATTGGAAAGGAAGAAATCAAATTATCTTTGGGTGCAGACATGATCTTCTGTTTAAAAAAACCTAAAGAGTCCAACAAAAAATTCTTAGAACTGATAAATTCAGTAAAGTTTTAGGATACAAAATCAACATATGGAAATCAGTAGCATTTTTATCCAACAGTGATCAATCTGAAAAAGGCATCAAGAAAGCAATCACTTACAATACCTACCAAAGATAAAAATACCTAGGAATAAATTTTACCAAAGTGAAAGATCTCTACAGGAAAAATTATACAAAGCTGATGAAATAAATTGAAGACACAAAAAGTGGAAAGATATCCCATGCTCATGGATTGCAAGAAATAACATTGTTAAAATGTCCATACTACCCAAATAAGCACTACTAAAACGAAAACACTGAGGAAACATTCCAGGACATTATTCTTGGCAGAAATTTTTTAGGTAAAACCTTAAAGTCATAGGCAACAAAAGCAAAAATAGATAAATGAAATTACATCAAGCTAAAAAGCTTCTGCATAGCACTGCATAGCAAAGGAAACAATCTTCAAAGTAAAAAGACAACATACAGAATGAGAGAAAATATTTGCAATTTATCCATCTGATAAGCAATTAATAACCAGAATATATAAGGAATCCGAAACAATAGCAAAAAGAAAAAAAAAAAAAAGTCCAGTTATAAAATGGGCAAATGATGTGAATAGACATTTCACAAAAGAAAACAGATATATGAAAAAATGCTGAAAATTGCTAATACATCAAGGAAATGCAAATCCAAACTGCAAGGTATCATCTCATCTCAGTCAGATTATTTAAAAGACCATAAAATAACAAAGCAGGCAAGGATATGGAGAAAGGGAACACTTATACACTGTTGGTGGGAATGCAAAATAGTACAGTCATTATAGAAAACTGTAAGGAGGTTGCTCAAAAAATTAAAAATAAAACTACCACACAATCCAGCAATCCTACATCTAGCAACATATCCAGAAGAAAGGAAATCAGTGTTACTGAAGCATTCTCTGCACTCCCATGTTTATTGCAGCAGTATTCACAATAGCCAAGATATGGAATCAGGGTGTGTCTATCAACAAATGAATGGATAATGAAAATTACTTATATACACAATAAAATGTTATTCAGCTATAAAAAAAAATAAAGTAAAATCTTGTTATTTGCAACAACATGGATGGAACTGGAAGTTATTGTTAAGTGAAATATGCCAGGCACAGAAAGACAAACATCACATGTTCCCATTCATATGTGAGAGCAAAACGAGTGGATGTCAACAAGGTAGAGAGTAGAATGGTGATTACCAGAGGCTGGGTAGGAAAAGTGTTTGGGAGAAGAGTGAAGAGAAGTTGGTTAAGGGATATAAAAATACAGTTAGATGAAAGACATAAGTTCTAGTATTTGATAGTACAGTAGGGAAATCATTGTTAACAATTTAAAGTCTATTTCTAAATATCTAGAAAATGATAGTAAGGAACCCAACATAAAGAAAAGACAAATGTTTGAGATGATGGATATCCCAGTTACCCTGATTTGATCATTAAGCATTGTACACAGGTATCAAAATATCACATGTACCCCAAAATATGTACAAATATTATATATCAATAAAAAATAAGAAACTGTTATAACTAGAATCAAAGAAAAGCATCTTGTGCCAATGTTTGAATTTATTCCTACAACAATTCACAAGCTCAATTACAAATCTTTGAAATTTTCAAAACTGACTAACATGGTGAAACCCTGTCTCTACTAAAATTACAAAGAATTAGCCATGCGTGGTGCATGCACCTGTAGTCTCAGCTACTCGGGAGGCTGAGGCAGGAGAATCCCTTGAATCTGGGAGGCGGAGGTTGCAGTGAGCAGAGATTGTGCCACTGCACTCCAGTCTAGGCTACAGAGTGAGACTCTGTCTCAAAAAAAAAATTGTATATAGTGCCATTTTGTAATCCCAAAAAGTTCCCTGTAGTGTGAGTTTCTAATAGCCACAGACAATCACAACAGAGTTTCATGGCTAACAACATATGCTATTACATATTTCAAGAAAGTTGCTATTAACTGACCCCATTATTTATTTCTAATAAAGTAGTTTAGCTTTAAAAATGATTACAGAGAAAATAAAACAGATTATAAGTATTTCTAAAATCCACTTACCCCAAGTGAACTATTGTGTCTTAACTTCTTCTCTCTTACAAATGTCCATACTCACTCACACACAATTCACTCCCCAAGGCAGTACCTGGCTTACACTTCTCATTCCTTTCCCTGATGAATTACCAGGAGGCCTAACAGAAAATGATGGCTCTGGGATAGCCAGTTACGGGGAAAGTTTTAGGCCTTTTAGGCAAGTCTCAAATTGAACTACCACCAAGATTGTATTTTGGCGCTCCAACATAATCCTAATGATGATCTTAGTTTCCACGAATATTTGTAGTTTTTGCCTATAAATCTGAAAAGCATACAGCCTACATAAAGTGAAGACTGGGTATAAATATGCAATTTACTTACAAACACCAACTTTTGCCTCTTAATATAGTTTCATAAAATGAACAAATTGTGAGACTAGTATGCTATTCAAATAATGGTTTAAGATGAATACCTGCTTTCCATGATTTCTGAATCCTGTTGCAAATTAATAGTCTCTGTTGTAATTTCCACTTTCCGTACACTTCCAAAGAAATCAGTTATCAGTACATTTTTAGGATCCCTCTGAAAAAGATCAGTCCGATGTCCAGGAGTAGACACACACAGACTTTTGGGACACACCTGAAACTGAAAAAATACATAATGATAAATGCATGCATCCACAGACATGTAACATTTATTAAATCCAATGACATAATACAGTAAACTATAGTGTGTTTTTAAAACTCTCCCAACCTGAAGAAGTCATGCATTCTAAAGAGCTTAAAGTTTCATTCCTATCATAATGCTTGGCATTTAAAAAAAACTATACAGACATTAGGATTTTTTTTTATTAGACAGCAACAGACAATCACAAATAACAAAGTTTCATGGTTAACAACATATGCTATTATATATTTCAAGAAAGTAGCTATTAACTGACCATTACTTATTTCTAATAAAGTAGTTTACCTTTAAAAATGCATGTAAAAAAAAAACTATACAAACAGTAAATGTTTTTTAAATGAAGAAAACATTTAAGTGGAGTTGCTCTGGATTTCAGGAGGTTGAAGCACAGCCTCTCTTCTGCATATCCTCTTGCTCTCTGTTGTACTCCTACGTAGCATTTGATATATCAAAGCACTTTCTTAGTGTAATATTTGATGAAAATAAACCCAACCCACCTCTACAAAGACTCCAGTGCTCCAAAGAAAACAATCTGAAAAACCAAAACTTCACTGTAAAACAGACGTCACAATAATTTTTGTGTTAATCTTATCACTGATATTCCAGGTTAGTGAATTATCAAGGACAGACATATATTCATTCACTCAGCAAAACATAAAAAGTGTTTATTACATAGAATTCAGACTGTTACTTTCCATAGAGAATGCAAAGACTGATAAGACATGATCCTGTCCTCAAGGATTTAAGTCTAGTTAGAGGTGAATAAACATAACAAGGTAGAAAAAAATGATATCAAGTCCCACTTCAGAAAAGGATAAACTTCTTACAGTTTGAGGATAAAAAAAAATAAAAGTGAAATTAAAGCTATTTTTTGAAGGAAAATGAGAACTTACTGGTGGGAAATAAGAGCATTCCTAATAAAAGAGCAGTTACAGAGATGTGTAAAGCAAATGATTTAGTTTGGCTGAAGCTCAAGAAATATGAAGAAAAATAATACAGGCCTGTCAGGAAGGGTCCAGGCACACAGCACCTATCCACCTGTGGAGATAAGACTGTCTGCACTGGCAATCATCAATATGAAGGCAGAAAGGTGGAGAAGAATAGAGCAGATACAACTTGTAAAACAGTGTTCCAGTAACTGTGCTAAGCAATTTGCAGATATTCTCATTTAAGCCTACCAATAACTCTGAGGTATACAAAAGTTATATCTCCACTTCAAACTAAGGTTCAAAGAGATTAAGTAATTTACCTAATACCACACTGCCAGCAATCCTTGTCATCCCTATTCAGGAAAGCAGTACAAGAAAACACAAAGAAGAACTCAGGATATAAATTAAATGGGAAAAAAATAAAATGCCAAACAGGAATAACAGAAGATTGGAGAAAAAAGTGACAGATAAAATAAAATAAGCAGAGTTAATATTGAAGTCCCAAGAATATTGAAGACTTCTTGGGTATTCCTGTATGAGCAACTTGATGGGCTTTCTTAGGTACCAGCAGAAGAAAACATATAGTATAGTCAAATGGGCCTGGGAAACACTGAATAAAATTATCTTATTCTTTGCTGCCAAAATAAACATGCTTCCCCTTATTATGAAGTCACTCCTTTAAGAACTTTTATCGTATCAGTCCGATTTCCTTAGCTCAAGTAACACAATGACCCACAGGTCTCATAGTACTCAGTTTACATTTTCAATAATCTTCTTCAGTTACAGAATGTCCACACTCTAGCCAGGCCATTATCAAGATAAGAATCATCTATTATTCCAACTTCTGTGTGTGTGCACTGTTATACTTCCCTAGTTTGCTATACTTCTCTTCCTTCAAACCATCCTTCCTTCAAGCTATTATCAAAGATAAAGATCATCTATTATTCCAACTTCTTCTGTGTGTCTGTGGGTATTCTATTTCCACAGAGTATGCTATACATCTTCTCTTCCTTAAAACCTGTACTTACCTTCTCCAAGAAAAAATTATCACTAATCTCACTATATTTAAAGGAGCCATACAGATGTGCATTTGTTGTCATGTCCTTTCATTCATTTAGCAGATATTCAATGAACATCTACAAATAAACCAGGTACTATAATTAAGCTCTGTGAAGTGTAAGATGAATATAGTCCTACACCTCTTATTCAAGAATAAGGTCCCTACACCCCTTATTCAAGAAACTCAAAGCCTTGAGGAAACATCGTAAATATAAACAATTACAGTGCAATACTCAAAGTATAATAAAGATATAGGTTATATGTTCACAAAGGAAAAACAATTACCTGGAGTGTCCAGACATTTCACATAACAAATAATGCTTTATAAATATGCTCTTCAATTGTTACCAATGACACTAGAAACTTTCAAGGGGCTCAGCACCAGGTCTTCGAATTTTCCTACTCCTAAAGTAACTAACATAGATAGTACTGTGAATACAGCTGACACTCAACAAATTTTACTATATACATATACTCTAATAGAAAACAGATATTATTACACAATTGAGCTAGAGATAGGTTAAGTCACTGCCCTAGCAAACTGCCAGAAAATGAATCATTCCTATTAAGATTACAATAGTCATCATTAAATTTTAAAAATAAAGGTGTTAGGGTAAGATGAGACAAGTGAGGAACGTTTATTAAAAACTAAATAGCAGTTATGAGCAATACAAAAATTAGTTTCCTCAATCTTTCCTCTATAATTTCAATAGAAGTATTTTTTAAATACCCATTAGACATTCAATGTGCAAGGTACATATATTTATACTTTCGAGACAGCACATTGTGCCTTACATAAAATATACAATGTATAATCCAAAAATGACAATAAATTTTTAAATTAAAGTAATTGGAACTAGGTGACACTAATTTTTTTTACAGTTAATGGTGCATTATCATAAGTTTTAACATTCAAATTCATATGAAGATTTAATAAACATTAAAATATTTAATCTTCAAAAGGAAGTTAGAAAGTAGCTGATATGGTTTGGCTGTGTCTCCACCCAATTCTCATCTTGAATTGCAGCTCCCATAATTCCCACATGTTATGGGAGGGACTCAGTAGGAGGTAACTTAATCATGGGGGTAAATCTTTCCCATGCTGTTCTTGTGACAGTGAATAAGTCTCACAAGAGCTGATGGTTGTATAACAACCCCTGTACATGCTCTCTTATGTAAGATGTGCCCTAGTGCCTCCTATTAGGCCTTCCACAATTGTTGTAAGGCCTCCCCAGCCCTGTGGAACTATGAGTCCATTAAATCTCTTTTTTGTTGTTGTTTTATTTGTTTCTCTGTTTGTTTTGAGACAGAGTTTCACTTTGTCACCCAGGCTGGAGTGTAAGTGGTGCAATCTCAGCTCACTGCAGCCTCTGCCTGTGAGAGAGAGAGAGAGAGAGAGAGAGAGAGAGGGAGAGAGGGACCTAAAAATGCGGAAGTGACTTTGGTACTGGGTAACAGGCAGAGGCTGGAACCTCTGAGTATGGAGGGCTCAGAAAAGATGAAGATGTGAAAAAGTTTGGAGCTTCCCAGAGACTTGTTGAATGGTTTTAACCAAAAAGTCCAGGCTGAGGTGGTCTCAGATGGAGATAAGAACTACTAGGAACTGGAGCAAAGGTGATTCTTGCTATGCTGTAGCAAAGAGACTGGCAGGATTTTGCCCCTGCCCTAGAGATCTGTGGAACTTTGAAATTGAGAGAGATAATATAGGATATCTGGTGGAAGAAATTTCTGAGCAACAAAGCATTGAAGAGGAGACTTGGGTGCTGTTAAAAGCATTCAAGTTTATGTATTCACAAAGATATGGTTTGCAATTGGACCTTATATTTAAAAGGGAACCAGAACATTAAAGTTCAGAAAATTTGCATCCTGACAATGCAATAAAAAATAAAAACTCATTTTCTGAGGAGAAATTCAAGCCTGCTACAAAAATTTGCATAAGTAATGAGAAGACAAATACAAGGAGCCAAACTTTAATCACCAAGACAAAGGGGAAAATGTCTCCAGAGTATGTCAGAGACCTTTACAGCAGCCCCTCCCATCATAGGCCCTGAAGCCTAGAAGAAAAAAATTAGTTTGTGGGCTGGGCCCAGGACTCCCTGCACTGTGCAGCCTAAGGACTTGGTGTCCTGTGTCCCAGCCATTCCAACGGTGGCTAAAATGGGCCAAGGTACATCTTGGCCCACAGCTTCAGGGGGTGCAAGCCCCAAGCCTTGGGAGCTTAAATGTGGTGTTAAGCCTGCAGGCACACAGAAATCAAGAATTGAGGTTTGGGAACCCCCACCTAGCTTTCAGAGGATGTATGGAAATGCCTTGATGTCCAGGCAGATGTTTGCTGCAGGGGCAGAGCCCTCGTGGAGAGCCTCTGCTAGGGCAATGCAAAAGGAAAATGTGGGGTTGGAGGCTCCAAACAGAGTCCCCACTGGGGCACTGCCTAGTGGAGCTATAAGAACAGGGCCGTGCTTGCTTCGGCAGCACATATACTAAAATTGGAACGATACAGAGAAGATTTAGCATGGCCCCTGCGCAAGGATGACACGCAAATTCATGAAGCGTTCCATATTTAAAAAAAAGAACAGGGCCACTGTCCTCTAGACCCTAGAATGGTAGCTCCACTGACAGCTTGCACTGTGTACCTGGAAAAGCCACACACTCTCCACGCTAGCCCATGAAAGCAGCCAGGAGGCAGGCTGTACTCTGCAAAGACACAGGGGCAGAGCTACCCAAGGCCATGGGCACACCTCCTCTGAAAAGGAGATCATTTTCGAACCTTAAGGTTTAATGACTGCCCTATTGGATTTCTGACTTGCATGGGGCCTGTAGCGCCTTCATTTTGGCCAATTTCTCCCAAGTGGAACAGGTGTATTTACCCAATGCCTGTACCCCCGTTGTATCTAGGAAGTAACTAACTTGCTTTTGATTTTGCAGGCTCATAGGCAGAATGGACTTGTCTTGTCTCAGAAGAGACTTTGGACTGTGGACTTTCGAATTAATGCTGAAATGAGTTAAGACTTTGGGGGACTGTTGGGATGGCACAATTGGTTTTGAAATGTGAGAACATGAAATTTGGGAGGGGCCAGAGAAAGAATGATATAATTTGGCTCTGTCCTCACTCAAGTATCATCTTGAATTGTAGGTCCCATAATTCCCACATCATGGGAGGGACCCAGTGGGATGTAATTTAATCCTGGGGCAGTTACCCTCATGCTATTCTCATGATAGTGAGTGAGTTCTCACGAGATCTGATGGTTTTATAAAGGGCAGGTCCCCTGCATATGTTCTCTTGCCTGCCTCCATGTAAGACGTGCATTTGCTCCTCCTTCACCTTCTGCCATGATTATGAGGCCTTCCCAGCCATTTGGAACTGTGAGTCCATTAACCCTCTTTTTCTTTATAAATTACTCAGTCCCAGGTATTTCTTCATAGCAGTATGAAGATGGACTAATACAGTAGCTTTATCAAAGTTCACAACCTATAGCAGTAGCCTTCAGAATCTTACAGTAAAGCCCCTTTAATAAATGACAACTTACCTAAAAGATTTATATATGATTAAAAAGATCAATACAAAGCTTTTGACTGAAGTGCTAGAGGGCAGAGCCCTGTTTACTCAGTCTCCCCTTCACTCTAAGTCCCATGAAGGCAGGAATGGCATCTGCCTCTTTCATTAGGAACAGCCAGTGCTTGGCACTTAGCAAATACTCAAGAAATGTCAGTGCAAGAATAAACAGACTATAAATTAATGAAAAGAATGAAAGTTACTGACACACAATAAATTATCCAGTCTAGAATTGTTGTTTCAGGCTTTTTGTTATGCCTACTTTCAACAACAACCTCAAAGTACATTTAATTAAAAAGAATCAGCACAAAAAAACTCAGGAAAAAATCTAAACTAAATCCAACAAGTCATGTGAAAAGACTTTACTATAAATTGTAGGGCCCACAAAAATGTGTAAGAAAAGGTCTCTCTTTTCCAGGAGCTTCCCATTCAGTGAGAAAGACTTACATTCAATTACTAAGGTAAATAAATGACAGACTGTGGTAAATGTTACAAATGAGAAATATAGGTCTATGGAGGCTCTAAAAAAAAAAAAAAAACAGGAAATTCCCACATAGAAGAATTCAGGGAGACTTCCTGAACGAGACACAATCTTGTTCAGGAGATTGTATCTGAGGTGGCCCCTGAAAAACACATAGAATTTCAAAAGGTGAACCTAAAAAAAAGTACATTTCTGGTAAGGCAAAGAAAATGAGTAAATGAAGGAAAACAGTAACATACTTCAGGCCTCTTGTAGAGAGAGAGAGAGATACTAATATAAAGGTAGAAGGTAGATAGCAAATAGTATTAAAAGCTATAATTCAACACATAAAACAGTACCCTCTAGTAGTACAGAGAATAATACACTTCTTTTCACATTAAGGTTAGCATACCTATGTGCTATAATCAAATCAAGTGAATACTTACAAGGTCATTCATGTTAGTTTGGCTAGCTGGGTTAATTTCTTCCAAAAATTCCAAGACATAAAATGTGTATCTATCCATAAGATGGACTCCAATTGCAGGATCAGGCTGATGCTATGAAAAGGGGAAAAAAAGTATTTGTCTAACACTATCATTATAACAAAATGTTTTAAATGTAACCAAAATTTCCTTCTAATGTGTTAGTCTAAGAAAGAACAGATAGATTCATAAAGCATTTGAAGCATTTCATTGGTTTCAGAAATAGCTGCACATTCCAAAGACACAGTTTACAAATGGGGAAAATGCACATACCGAGAGTGAATCTTCTCCCACTTGGCTACTAGCTAGAGCCATTATGTTAGGAGAATAAAATCGCTCATACATGGATGCTCCTTGGCAAGTATCAATAATAAACAGTAGCTCATTGTAGCTGAAAGAAAAGTGATAACATCTTTGACAAGAATCACGCTGTAAATCATACACTAACTAATATTTCTACAACACTTTCATAAGACGTTTAAGTCATATCTTAGTCACTTCATTAGCTAAAAGTTTTCAGCAGAATTTCCAACAGAAATTTGACCTTAGAAAAAGTTAAAGGTATACATTTGTCCAAGAGATGGGAATCTTAAAAGGTTAACTACTTCATGTTATAGAATAACTTAGTTTTTCTTTGAAAAACAACCTAGTTCAGTGGAAATAACAAATGTAAATTTAAAAGGGTCAAAGACATTGTCAAAATAAGTAAAAAATCTTATAAAATAAAAACTAGAAACCTACTAACCATGTGAAAATTAGGTATGAATATAACTTATGAAAATAAGCCATTTGCTAATTACCGTCTTTTCTGCCACATTTGTTCAAAAGCATCTGCAAGTTCTATGTTGGTAATTTCTTCAGAATCTTGAAATTTTAAGAAACCATTTCCACCATGTCCTTGTATAAAGAGTAAAAAAGATCAATAGATCTATATTTTAATGCAAACTGCATACATCTAGATATATACATTTACTTCATTCATTGCAACATTTTAACATCACTTGTTATTTTATACTCTAAAATATATACTATGAAAACAAATTTTCTACTATGCCAATTAAAAAGAGAATGATAGACTATATAAAAAATAGCAGATATAATATGTTTTAGAGTGTTTCTAACAATCAATTCCAGAAACCTATATTTATGCTCTTCCACTGGCTCCATCTTTATCAAAAATGAACTTCCATTCATAAAAATGTTGCAAATACCAGGCAAATAGTTTTGATAAGAAAGAAGCTGAAGACACTAGCTAGTCCCCTGGTATACTAGTACTATTTACAATGTATACTTAGAATGATATTACTACTAACAAGTGCAGTTCTTACTAAAAACTGACATTTTTACTACAAAAAGTGGGCCAGAAGATTGTGCTATTTGTATGCAATCTAGAGGCAGGCTGTCTGGATTCAAATGGTAGCTATGCCATGTTAGTTTAGGAAAATAATTTAATCTTTCTAGGCCTGTTTCCTCAGCCATAAAGTGAGAAATGTATCCACAACACTATCATTATCTTACTTATACAGCTCCTTTGTGGAGATTTTTAAAAGGTACCTTCCATTGGGCATGAAAGTAAGGAAAAAAAAAGAAACCAAAACTAGTCTCCCCACCCTCCCCCGACATATATACAGCACTGCGAACTTACAAGTAGTTAGTTGACTATGCCTTTGTGGAAGATAAAAGTACTCCTCCCTCCCATTAGAATATAACCTGTGGCAGGGCAGATTGCTTAGTAAGTGTAAGCACATACTAGATTTCAGTTCCCACTTAATCTCCTGACCGGATGCTTGGGTGCACTACAACCCACACAATCACATATGGCAACCCAGAATATCAGCACCGAAGTCAATCGGCTGACGTGAGGATGAAATGAGTTAATACACACAATGATTTAGAATATTGCCTGATGTATACTATGCATCCATAAATATTATCATATAATCATAATTATCAACCCTTTTATTCGTTTACAGGCACTGGCAACCTTCTTCCCTAAAAGATCAGGTAGCAAATATTTTAGGCTTGAGAGCTATATGGTTTCTATTACAAATACTGAATTCTGCTGTTGTAGCATGGAAGCAGTCATAGAAACTATAAACAAAATGGATGCAACTGTGTTCCAATAAAACTTCCAAAACAGGCAGCCAGTTCACAGGCCATAGTTTATCAAATCCTATCTTAACTACTGGAATTTGTTCCAAGCCTGCAGTTATCCTGAAAGAGTACCAAAAGAATTGGGAAGCAAACAAAAAAAATAACAATAATAAATCCTTTAGTTTAGTACATCAAATAAAACTAAGCTACAAAACTGCACTTCACCTTGCCACAAAAGCTTGAAAATTCCTTGTAATTTTCAGACAAAGTAAAATAAATTTTTTTCTAACTTCATTAACTCTATTGAGTTAATTTATAAAGTTTATAAATTGAGTCTTGAAAGTTATAAATGCAACATGATAGAGAAAAGCCACTAAGTAGGCATCATTAACTATCTTGCCATGTGATACCTAAGAATCATTCCGCACCTGTTTTATCATCAGTTGAATGGAATGCCGTCCAAACAATTTATAGAAGATATTTTGATTAACATTCACATTTACTGAATACTATAAGACAGGCAACTGGTGATTTAAAAAGGCAAGAAATATATAGTCAATGACATCCTGGAATTCAAAATACAGTGAAGGCAACAGATACCCAAACAATAAAGTAATAATAAGTTAAATGCTATGAAAGAAACTAAAAATTAACACGGGAGTGCACAGAGGAAAGTCCAGACCAGCCTAGGAGAAGAGAAATATCGTTGGATAGGAAAAATATAAGCTACGTTATTCATACCTATTCTGAAGGAGAAAGCAGAAACTATTAATAATAACACAAGACAACAGGTGTAAACTACAACTGTCCCAGGTAATTGGAAACATCAGTCATCCTAGACTTAGAAAGGACATTCATGGAAGGAAGTGACTCTGAGTTAAAACTAAAAAGATTTGGAATAATCAAGCAGGCAAAGTGGACTGAAAAGGTGTCATAAGCAAATGCAAGAGCCTAAACAAATGTTTGAAGGACAGAAGAGTCAACTTGGAAGAGAATTTTGAAAAGTATTAAGACTAAGACTGAAATTAAATAATATAGCTAAATCATTATATTATTATGTGTTATATATATGATAAGTATGTTGTATTATGGTACACATTATCTCTAATATTCCTCAAAGTATAATCAAAGGACTACTGTATCTCATATCTGAGGAGTATATCCACAATGCAATTTCATGAATCCCAGCCCAGACGAAAACTGAATAACAATTCTAAAATAAGGCCTAAGTATCTGCAGTCAGGTAATCTTTATGTACAGCAAAATTTGAGGTGGAAAACCACTATAAAGTTTTAAGCAGAAGAGGGAAAGGTTTGCAATTCTTGTTAGACACTTTCACAGGATGATTAACAGGAGAACAAAACTGAAGGATGCTATATAGCAGTACACCAAGCAAAAGGTGCTAAAGTTTACCAAGTCAATAGTAAAAAAATATAGAGATAGGGAACAGCACAAAATGTTATACTGTTTTCAAATATCATTTCAAATAGTTCTAAATCATGGAAAATATAACCACATGAGAAACCATTGTAACCAAAACTCATTTCATGTGTTTAAATTTCTTTCCATGTGGATTTCTTTTCCAAGAGTTTTAATATATTCTAATATAAAATATCTAAATTACGAGATTACCTGTCATATAAATTAGAATATTGCTTCTATCATCAGAAAGAAGACGTTTCGACCGAGGAGTACTAGGTGGGATCCTCCCAGTTAATACCCTTAAAAAATTCTCCACAGTTACCTGGAGGGGAAAAAAAGAAAAATCAGATGAAATAAAACCTGGGAAATCTTGACAAATTATTTTTTACTTTCAAAAATGTTCCTTCTTCTTTTGCTATATATTACTCAGCATCAACTGAAAATAAAACACCCAAAACTTATATAACTCAATTAAAATATATTCTTTTAAACATATACCTCCAAGTAACTTTGTTACTATATTTAAAAGTACTAAAAACTAACAAAGAAGGCAGAGCATGATGGCTCATGCCTATACACTCAGTACTTTGTGAGGCCAAGGCAAGAGGATTGCTTGTGGGCAGGAGATCAAGATCAGCCTAGGCAAAATAGCGAGACCCCATTTCTACACAAACACAAAAAATGTTTAAAGTAGTCAGGCATGGTAGCACACTCCTGTAATGCTAGCTACTAAGGAGGCTGAGGCGGAAGGATCATTTGAGCCCAGAAGTTCACCACTGCACTCCAGTCTGGGCAAGAAAGCAAGACTATGTCTCTTAAGGAAAAAAAAAAAAAAGCAAAGTAAAACTACCTTGGAGAAAAATAAGTTCTAAATTTAAAACCTTAAATGCTATGTGAAGTGCTGCCTTTAAAAACTACTAAAAAGGTGCAAAATTATTAATCTGGCCAGGCATGATGGCTCATACATGTAATTCCAACTACTCAGGAGGCTGAGGCAGGAGGCTCACTTGAGGCCAAGTGTTCAAAAACAGCCTGAATAACATAGTTAAGACCCCCTCTCTGGAAAAATAAAATAAATTAGCCAGGCATGGTGGTACACACCTGTAGTCCCTGCTATTCAGGAGGCTGAGGCAGGAGGATCACTTGAGCCCAGGAGTTCAAGGCTACAGTGAGCTATGATAGGGCCACTATACTCCTGCCTGGGTGACAGAGCAAAACTCCAGCTCTAAAAAATAAAAATTATTAATCTCTCTGCACAGGCAATTCTGTGGGAAGATATAAAATATAAGAATTTTTAAATAAATTCAGCTACATTATTGCAGCTAATTTGTACAACTACTTAGTCAACTATAGATTAACCATGAAATAAAATAGTTCCATGTTCATTACTTGGATCACAGGCTCAATCATACCCCAAACATCAGCATCACACAATATACCTTTGTAACAAACCTGCACACGTATCCGCTGCATTTAAAATAAAGGTTGAAAAAAAAAATTCATTTATTTCCCCAAAATTACATATAATTAATTTTTGAATGCACTTTGTTTCTTAGATTTTGTTAGTGGTATCTTCAACATGTAAAAACTTCATAACACTTTAAACTAGATTTTCCAATCTAGAATTTCTATCCCTCTAGGATTCTTTGAAGGCATATTTAAAGTTGTAGAGAGTAAAACACTGATTTAAAGCCAACAGCTGAGTCATATATTATGCATATCTACATTTAAAAAGTAGAAAATCTATCCAGTTTTCTTGTTCAACTATTCCCTAGAACATAAGTATATGAATTATATGTATACACATTTGTGTGTGTGTAAACTGATTTACATTTTTCCTGCAAGACAGCAAAATGCTCATTGTTTTAATAGGACTTCTTATTGGCCAACAAGGAAGGAAAATTTGGGGGCTATATTTTAAGATGACTAAATAAACAAGTAAAAAGTGAAACACATATTTAATTCAATGAGCCAACATTTTTGAGCCCCTAATACAGGCTACAGGTACTTGCCAGCTATACGATACCTAAGATATAGGCCCTCCTAGCTGACAGTCTAGGAGGAGATAGGTAGACTTTTAAAATTGCTTCAAAAGCAGTCTGGGAACACACAGGAAATTGTCTTACTTTTGGTAGGCTTGGTAAAAGGGGAAGGATTATCTAAAAAGACTTCATAAAAGAGGACTTCAAATATTAAGCATATTCACAATCTATTAAATTAAAAATAAAGTTTCAAAGGGACAAAATACAGTGTAATACCAGTTTTTTACATTTACATTTTTATTTCTAATCACATATTCATAAAAAACACTGGAAGCATACTGAAAGTGGTTATTTCTAAGCAATGAAAATATGGTGAGTTGTTAGTCACTATAGTTTTTCCACAATTAATACAATTACTAAAACTAATAAACTTAAAATTTTAGGTTAAATATGAAAAATGTTTCCTATGAAATACATTTATCGTTAAAAAAATTGACACATGAAACCTCACTATAATACTCTAACATTGAAGCCAATATAGTTTTTCTGTCCTAGATACAAATGTAAAATGTTCATGTTTTAATATTTTTCCTATGCATCACTGCCTTAATATGAACTCGAGAGACAGTTACATCAAGGCTTAAGTGACAATTAAGTTTAAAGAAAAATAATAAGACAATTTTATTCTGCCATTGTTTTAGAGCTTAAAAGTAACAATGCCATTTCAAAAATGTGGCTAGATTAAACAATTTACCTCATAACTTCTATAATCCACTTCCACATCATCTCCATACACATTTAGTTCCATGTTCTTGTGACTAAACACTGTAGCTGGTTTGGGATTTCTAGGATTACAGGCCATATCATCTGCAAGCATTAGGACAATGTGACTAGAAAAAAAACAACAAACAAACAAAAAACTCCAGTAAATATACAATTTAGATAAAAGGAAAAAGTTAAACACAAATTTATTTATATCATGTAGCAATTGTGTTCATTTTACTCCTCCTTAAAAAATAATTAATTTTCAACTACATATTTGAAGGTGCTTTAATTATTTTCTTCATATCCTTATGTAGTATATATTTTAAAGTAGAGAAATTAGAGCAATCTGGCATAAACTTTTCAACAGAATTTCAAGATACTAATGTTTTTCTGAACAATGTATACTTTATGCCATATAGCAAAGAGAAGCTAAAGGAACTGTCTTCCTCAGACATTGAAAATATTTTTTAGTAAAATTTCACATTCTCAAGACACAGAGTCCACATTAAATTATGATGTCCCAATAATTTAACTTTCAGAATCCCAAACGCTTGAGTATAAAAACATGGAACTGATCAGCAAGTACAATCAGTGTAGCACAAGAGCACACCTCCAATCCAAGCACTCCTCACAAGATCCACATATCTATTCCATTTCCCTAACACCAACAACAGTCATCTTCCGGCTAGGTGCTGGAATAGCACCCTACCTGGCCTCCTGCTTCTACTCTCACCTTCTTTCAGTTCATTCTTCTAAAAGCCCCCAGAGTGATCTTCCTTAAATCAGCCAAATAATAAAATGTTCCCACTTAAAAGTTTCCAAGGACTCCCCACTAGATCTTTTTGTTGTTGTTCACCTGCCGTTCCATGCATCCCCATTATATTTAGAGTGAAATTGAAACTCCTTACATCATCTAAAAGGCTCATTTAATCTGGTCTCTCTCTCTCCAACTTTAGCCTCTACCACCCACATTCTCTATGCTCCCTCCACGCTGGCCTTTCTGTTCCTAGAATATGCCAAGCCTTTCCCACTTAAGTGGCTGCTGACCAAATTTAGACTTCACTCCTCCCAGATCTTCATATAATTCCAGCCTCAGCTATGGTAATCTATCTTACTATGCGTTTTACTTTCTACAGAACATCTATGAATCTGAAATCCCCATCATCTTCTATCACCACCACCCCCATTAGAATATAAGCGCTCTGAGGGCAGGGACTATAACTGTCCTGTATCACTCACGCTACATACTAGAGCCTGGCATATGGTAGGTACTCAGTAAATAATTTTAAGTGAATGAAATATTTTAATTTTGCATATAATTTCTGTAGGAGATAATAAAATCTCTCTTTGATACTTTTCATCTTCACCCTACCATTAAAACTGGTTAATAATAATCAGAAAATTCTCCATTCTACCATATCTTAAGTTTCCCAAGCACAAGGGAAAAATTAATGTGGCATACATAATTAGTTTGGCAGGAGACAGCAAGAAGAAAATGTTCTGCTACATATGTTCCAACTACATTAAAGTTCAAAACTGAAACATTATGATTTTTCTTGAAAATTGGCTAGATTTCTACCTTGAAAGTGTTCCAACCCTGCCACGTTCAAAGATCAGATCTTCAGCTGTTACTGATTCATCTTCACAGAATAGTGAAAGTCATTCCTCTTAAAACAGAAAATATGTTTTCTCTTTTTTAAAACTTAAGATAATTAATTTACATTAAGGAAATATCAATCATATATTCCTTTGTTAAACAAGATTGAACTGACCTCCAAATGTCAATATAAACATGAGTATTTGTTTAAGCCATGTTTTCTGTTTAGGGTTAATTTCACTCTGTGAAACTAAATAATTATTGAACAGCTATAAAATGTCAGTATCAATCATAAAGAGGTACTAATTTCAACTTAAAATCATAAACTTAATCAACATTTCTCCTAGAGATAACTTTGAACCTCAATACAAGTGCTATGACTATTAACATAATCAATATATTATAAAATACTATATTTGTAATAATATGGAAAAAGGGTGGATTTCAAACATTTCAAAAGCCAACCACAAATTCTAATTCACTGTTTCTAAAACTTAAGAAATGTACAGAACTCTTTTCTAGAGAAAAAAATAATTCTCACTAGGTCCAAGTGTTAAATTATTTATATAACAGTACTTAAATACACAACTGCAAACAAACTACTTAGGCTTATATATCTTATGAAACTATAGAACAAGAGAAAATTATAAATTAAATTCTAACAAAACTAGGAAACTAATAATACTCTAAAAACATTAATCCCCTTTGAAAGATGACATTATTTTCCAAAAACTAAATGCCTGCTGCTTTAACAGACGACCTTCAGATCTGGTTCTACATTTAATTTTTTTCTGTATTTTGACATCCATAATTGTTAAAGCAAACTAAAATGGCCTGAGAAAGACTCCATACTTCTATATTTGAGTCCTTGTGGACAAACTGCCACCTAACTTAACAGGTAGACAAGATTGAAAACCTAACATAGGAGTATGCACCTGTAACAACAGCTGAGTCTTGGCCAATCCCAGCAGCCATACTTCAACCACGCATACACTGCCAAGTGCTCAAACTGTGTGCAAATAAGTAAAATGCCAACTTGTAACCAATCCAGTTGTTTCTGTACCTCACTTCAAATTTCTGTCCCTCACTTCCCTTTCTTTGTCTACAAATCTTCTTTCACCATGTGGCTGCACTGGAGTCTCTCTGAACCTGCTGTGATTCTAGGGGATGCCTGATTCATGAATCGTTCTTTGCTCCATTAAACTCCTTTAAATTTAATTTGGTTGAAGTTTTTCTTTTAACAGATGTTGTCAGAAGTGGGATGCAAAGTAAGCTTTAATGACTCTCAGGAGTACTGAATTAATAAGCAAGGTACCTGCAGGACACACTTGTGTCCAACGATGTCTCAAAGTTCTCTCTCAAAGAAAGAACTTTCGCATGATTCGCAGCCATGAATTTCAGAGTTCCACTGATTTGTTTTGGGCTCTACAAGTTTCTTTGAGAAAATTTCTGATCCAAACTGGGTCTGGAAGTCGTGACACAAACTGGACTGGGTCCAGGATCAGATTTGATCCAGTAATTAACTGGCTTGAATCCAGTTAGAGGCTTCTTACATCTGATTGGGTCAGAAAGAAACTGGTAGTAAATAGTAATATTGCAGAGGCTATTGGCTTTTAAAAATTTGGCAGGGATGGGCCCAGCACAATGGCTCATGCCTGTAATCCCAAAACTTTGAGAAGCCAAGGTGGGTGGATCATGAGATCAAAAGATCATGACCATCCTAGCCAACTCGGTGAAACCCTGTCTCCACCGAAAATACAAAAAAATTAGCTGGGCATGGTGGTGCACATGGGAGGCTGAGGCAGGAGAATCGCTTGAACCTGGGGAAAGGGGGGCGGCAGGGTGGAGGTTGCAGTGAGCCAAGATCGCACCACTGCACTCCAGCCTGGCAACAGAGCAAGACTCCATCTCAAAAAAAAAAAAAAAAAAAAATTGGCAGGAATTTTTGTATTCTACTCCTTTGTTTTATTTTTCTTGTGTGCTTAGGTAGGAAAACAAATCATTGACTAAGTTAATTGAGGAAATCTGAGAGCAAAGCCAATATTTTTGGTAAAAACGGGATCCTTAATTTCTGAAGAACTGAGTTCCTTCTGGCTTATACATGCCTCGGTATTAGGCCCCAGAAACAGTGAAGTCTTACAGAAATGGTGAGATCTGACTAAAGATACCTTACAATAGAACATTCCAAATGAACAACACACTGAAGTGCATTTAAAACCATGAGGCTCCCAGATTAGTTGCATCTAGGGATGCCTACTGATATGCAGAAGCTTCTAAAAAGATTTCAATATTTTTATTTAAAGCACACATATTTTGTTCTGGCCAGAAAGGAAAATACTAGAATTCGGGTCTCCAGTGCAGCTGGTTGGGCATCAACTTGCAAAATTGAGATAATTTTGCCTGTGCTTCCATTATTTTCCTTTGTGACGCAGTTTGGCCCCCAGAACTATGGTGTGGTAAGCAGGGTCACTAGGGCTGCTCAGGGAAGGGGAACCCAGAAACCTGACAGGCCAGCAAAAGGGCAACAATTTTCTTACCAGACTTATGGCCTCTCTCTCTCTCTGCAACCTGGTTAAATGAATGGTAAAAATCACTTTATCTCCTCTGTAAAGTTTTAATTAATGCAAAAAAGCATTCTGAGGCTATTTTTAAGTTGTAGGGAATTTGGTGTGCTTTATCTGTCTTTCTGTATGGTTCTGTCATAAAGGGTACCTTAGGATAGAACACAGGCTTAGGACCCATAAGCTCGCTATTCAAGACAGCCTAGCAAGCTGGTCAATAACAAACTTTGCTGCAGTTCTCTGAAACAAACAAAAAAACTGGCTGAGGTCTCCATCTGGTTTTGTCCTTGGGAGCTTAATGTTGTAACCACATGGTGGTATTTTCTCTTAGTCTCTGCCTTAGAGTGAAAAGAAATTCATGCCATAGCTAGCTCCAAAAATTATCTCGAGCAGTAAAAAGCCTTTGCAAACTCAAAATTGACTGCTCTAGACTTCTGGAAAGAGCAATGGAAGCTGTAGGTCAGTAGCTAAGACCTTGCCTTTTTACAATGGTGGCCCTAGTTCAATTCCTGGCTTAGGGAATGAGTCCTTTCAGGTTTGATAACTGCCTGATCTTTACTATTTGTTGATTCTCTTCCCCTCCAAGAATTTTTTCTTCTCTGAGCCAGAAGTATTGGCTGTTTGTCCTGGCTAAAGTCAGGTAATAAGAAATTTAAAAGGACTTTTATAAAGAGTGCTATAGTTAAAAGTCAGCTTAATTTAAAGCGGATATTCAAGCTCTCACAGCCTGGGACTCCTTGGGAAAAGCAGAGGAGGCACCACAGACTCTGTTTTGGGAAAAACCTCTGTTTTCCTCAAGAAATCTCAGGAATTAAAAGCAGATAGGTCCTTCTCAAAATCTAAGGCTCTGTTATGTTTTGTATTGCATTATCTGACATTTTTGACTTTTGGGAGTATCTGAAATTACTTCATATTATGAGAGAGTTTTGGTGTGTAATAACTAGTTAGGAAATACTTTCAGGGATAG